AGCCCATTGTGTAGCTTTGTGCATAAAATTCAAACAAACAAAAAAATCAAACTAAATCTAATTTTCTTTGAAAATCTAACTTACATAACATCAGCGTTTTAGCATCTCTATCTGGAGTAAATTGTGTAGATTCTAAATATAAAGTCCCATTTGAAATGTTCGTGGTTGCAAGCTCAGACGGCAACAAAATGTGGAAACTTTGCAGGGGTGAATACTTTTGAAAGACACTGTATCAATAATTATCATAAGACAAATTCTGTCTAAAACTGAGAAAAATTATGCTTATATGTGTGTGTATATATATAGAAAACAATAGTTCCATCTGTCAAGAGTGTATATACTACCTATCCATCATCTGGTCATAAAAAACCCACTATAGAAACTACACAGTATGTTAAATCTCGCATTTCTACCTCAACCTCTTTCGTCAGACATTTCAAGTGACGCCAATGGAGAATAATCTAGAACAATAGTTAACTACGATTTCAGGACAATAGTTAGCTGGAATGTCAGGACAGTAATCAGCACCTTATTCATGTACTGCAGTCACTTCTCTATAGTAAAACCTGTGTGCAGACTTTATGTGCATGTGAAGATTTGTGTGTGAAAATGTTCGAAAAGTTCAGTGAACATGAAATGATTACCTGCCTATAAAAGAAAAGAAACACCGTGGTATGTTTAACATATTGTATGTGTGAAAACGTTAAACGATGGTGTAGACACTGTACTATCTTTGCTGCCTAGAGAAAAAAAGGTCATGCGAGTGGAAATTCTGGTAGAGATGAATGAGGACTCTCTTTGAGAGAGAGAATCTCGTACTATGAAATATGGCACTTGAGGTTAAGATACAGTGAAAACTACACAAGAGTGCTATTTTACATTGATTACAGATTGAGTTTTAACACACTAAATTTAATATTAATATTTGTTATGCACATTTTGTTTTAATAAAATATTCGATTTGGGGTTATTCAGCTGTTAGTTTATCATAAAGTACATAAGTTCAAGATGGAGGCTTAGTGAAAACTAGAAAAATTGTTTTTTCGTTTGTTTGTAGTTAACCCTTTCGAGACGGGTTATAGGTGAAAGGCCATGTCATCTCGTTTGTTGACTCAAACTTTTATTGAACTACTATTTCACGAATTTATGCCAATAAGTTTGGTATCAATCTGTAGATTATAATTCATATTTTAGAACTATGAATTACTCAATTTCTTAATTTTAAAGTAAATATATAGAAAACACAGATAAACATCGATTTTTGTGTATCACATGGTATGCTGAATGCAGCACTGGTTCAAATTAGATGTTTGTGAAGTCAAAATACTAATTCTATAATTTCGTACGAATTAGAAACTCAAAATACATATATTGACAAGCTATAATATAAAATAAGAAGTTCTTATCTTTTCTATTTGCTAAGATATTGCTCATGTAATAACTCAAACACAGTGGCATCCCGCCCACCTCTTTCCATTTTTGGAAACCTTCCTTATATACATTTACTTCTATATATGACATGAATAACCAATCAGAAGCTCAGAATGTCTCCCTAGCTGTTTTCTCAGCCTTTCTAACGAGGCTAGCGCCATTTCGTTCTTTTGAATCAATATTATGGTAGTTGCGAGATCGTTAAAATCTTCCGAACCTGTACAGAGATTAATTACTGAAAATAACAGATAAAATATAAAGTTTTTATTAAGAAACATTTGATAACTATCCGGACATTATAAAGATTTCGCATGTGAAATTTCAAAAATTTCGAAACATGTAGAGTCGTCAACTTTTTGAAGGCCATAGATAGGCCTAAATAAAATATTTTTAATTGAGTACCAGTTTAACGTTGAATATTATTTATGATTTTAACTCTGAAGCATTTTAAATAAAATCTCGATCCCCTCAATAGTTGGCAAATTCTGGGGAAGGTTAATATGCATTTCGGTAGCCTTTGTTGGAATTTGTATGATAACTATAGACACTGAATACAGTATGCTAATAGATCACAGAAATGCTTTTAAACTTAAATATTTTTAATAGTAAACTAGGCCACTCCAGTGGATTCAATTAATTCGCACAGCCTGAAAACAATTTGAACGAAGAGGTTATCTATTGATAAACATTTTTACTACTAAAATTACTGGTTACATTTTACGACACTGGTTAATTAGGGTAGAATAATTGTTAAACTAACCAGGATAAATGTTCAACAGTAACTAGTTATCTTAGTTGAACATCAGCTGAACAACTATTTGATTCATTAAACTAAACTGTTTTAAAAATTTATTTACATATTTGAATCTAATTATGTTACATAGCACATAATTATAATAACATACAGCTTATAATACCACATGGTTTCACCATGTTTCAATCAGCTACATTAAAGTCCCTCCAACATATCTTCCTTGCTAGTATCTCTTGCGAAGTGGAAGAGAGTTTTGAAAGACAGTCCTTAGTAGACAAAACTATCATTAGCATGACTGGAATAAAAAGTTTTTCATGTGTTTTACAACTTAATTGGCAATTTCCATGCTTTGTAAAGTACATTTATACTTGTGTATGGAAGCACAGTGTGCTAATAGTAAATTCGCAGACAACGCTTTATATGTATAGTGAAATGGCTTTATTTTGGGGAACATACTATATGTTTCAACAGAAGAGGAGAGGCCAGTGATCAGACGAAGCATGTAGTATGTTCCTCAAAAATAAAACCACTTCATTATACTTATAAATCGTTGTCTGCAAATTTATTTCTAAAGTACATTTGTCTTGACATTTATATGTTTATTAGCTCTCTGAAAAGTGAGAATGGTAAATAAGTTGTTTTTGTTTTCAAATAACAAGCAAAACTAACGAATTTACGTCAATTTTCAACGAAGGTTTGTTACTAAGGCAGTGAAAACTCCCTATAAGACATTGGACAGATTAGTTTCATACATCATTATGGTGAGAATGCCTCATGTAGAATGCTGTTAGTGTAACAAGAAACTTTGTGGTTAGAAACGTTTCATTTAGTAGAAATAAATAATATACAACGCCTTCTTATATCTATGTGCTAACATGTTTATTCAATATTTCTCTTTTGTTTTACAAGTTTGGATATATGTTTCGACCTAACTAGGAAACACAGAAAATGCACAACGAATTCCCTAAGGAGAAGAAAGAGGAGCAGACAAGAATTCAAGAAGCGTTTCACTTTCAGGTAGTTTTTCAGCTAGCTTGAAAATCGCAATAAGTTGTTGAAGAATATTCCCTGGAAAGGCTCCAATATTTGAATTTACTAGTGCTTTTTGTAATGCATTTTTTGCTTGAAGAGTGTACAAGCCGTGTTTTCTTAACAAGTTTTCAACCTCTTTTGGGACAGCTGTTTGACCTGCAGAACGATAAAAATATTTAGTTATACACAAAATCTTAAGATGACGTCAGTCTTAAAGACGTATCTTAACTTTATATTGTTATAAAGAATAGGCAGAGCACGTTTCCTTTGCAAAATATTATTCAATTCCAATTTAACGAGTTCAAGCCTATGCAATAAAATAATTGCTCACTGTTTTGATTCTTTTCTTAGTTTGTGGGTTGAACACTAAACAGAATAAATTATACAAAAACAACCAGATCAACGTTTTCCATTTCTTACACATGAAAAGCTTGCAGTATGAACCACTGAACAGTAGTTTAGAAGTTTCAAGACAGAATAAAGCAGTGGTTGTAACTTATGAGTATGACAGAAATAATTTTTACAATACAACAATAGTTATAAAACAATTCTATATGTTTCTTGCGATGTAACGTCGAACTGGGTCTCTGTTCAGTCAGAAAATGTGTTTGTAATAAATACGATTAATAACGTGAAAAATGTATTGTAAATTAACACAAATATTCTGTTGTTACACAAGAATACGAATTTTGTTCCCCAATACAGGTTTGTGTAAACTATGACAAAACTGGTTGTTGCAGCGACACAAATACGTAAGTTTTATGTTTCTAAAAACACAAATGACGTGCGGTTTTAAATAAATGATTATGAAAAGTTTCTATTTGAACATGGTGAAACAAATCGGTATTTATCTTGTATTTATTTATGTTTCTAAAAACACAAACGACGTGCAGTTTTAAATAAATGATTATGAAAAGTTTCTATTTGAATATAGTGAAAACAAATCATTATTTATCTTGTACTTATATTCCTTTTGTGTATTGTCTGAATTTTGATTTATATCCTGAAATGCCTTAATTTATGATATTATTATGTTTACATAAACTGAATAAAATTTTGCACAAATATTATTTATCAGCGAACACATTTTCGTGTTCTATTTTTTTACTCCACAATCATCGTATTGCTTTTACCCTGAACATGTTGTGGTGTAGCCATTAAAACACCAGACTTGTGTTACAGGGCACTGCATGATCAAGTGGTTAGGGCGTTCGACTCACAATCTGAGGGTCGCGGGTTCGAATCCCCGTCTTACCAGACATGCTCGCCCTTTCAGCCGTGGGGCGTTATAATGTGACGATCAATCCCACTATTCGTTGGTAAAAGAGTAGTCCATTAGTTGGCGGTGGGTGGTGATGACTAGCTACCTTCCCTCTCGTCTTACACTGCTAAATAAGGGACGGCTAGCGCAGATAGCCCTCGTGTAGCTTTGCGTGAAATTCAAAAACAAACTTGTGTTATACAGCTGCATTCTTTTTTACGTGTTTTTTTTTTTACGATGTAATTATTTTGAATAGATGTCCTAACATTTGCCATATAACTAATTAAATACAAATAATTTCAATAATTGTATCGTAATAAACAAACGATTCAATTACGCTCGCAAAACAATGGGAGAATTGCAGTACGGATTTAGTGTCGAATGACAATTATAATATTACTTGTGTAAAAGCCAGTCAAAAATGACGGGAGACCAAACCCTACCAAACTTGAATCCTCCAATATGCATTTGCAACTTTGCCTCCCGTAAACAGACATAAGAAAAATAAAGGGTCTTCTAGGTTCGGGAAACCAAAGCCTATCATGAGTAATATCTACTTTACATAAAGAGTGTATTTTCCGAGCATCGATCCTTGTCCTAGCATTCTTAGATCTCAGTTATTTTCTTATCATGTCAATTGCATTATTACAATAGTTCTATTAAATCCACATTTCTTCTAAATACTCGATCATCGTTCAAAAACTTCATATCGTTCATATCAACCGACAAATTAATTTCACCCGGTGCTAAATAAATCCTTGGTATAAAAATTCCTTCCTTGACAGGCTTTTATATAGCATAAAAAGTGCCGAAACGTAAGAGCTATTTATGCCTATGTTAGTAACTAATTCAACTAAAATGGGAACGGGCAGTGAAAAGAGGGAGTATTACAGGAGAAAAAGTGGAACTGGACTTGTGTAACTCACTAAATTTGGAGAAATCAAGCGTGACCGATTGACTGACCGACACTTGACTGTTATGATTATGATATAAATATACAATTATAATATAATAAAATATTTTTGATTCAGCTAACATAATTTCGTTAATTACTTTAAAGATTGAAAGATGTTATAATCTACATGATATCACCTCAAATAATCTTACCGTGGATTTCATGAGAAAGAAACAGAACGGAGAATACAAGCAGTAACAGCTTCATTCTGATATTGTGAAGACGCAACACGTTTTTATCAAGTCTAATACTTTGGGCGAAACTGACTATTTTATTTATAACGAATAGTAAGTGATCAAACAGGAATATTCAAGTGCAACTTATTTTTCTTTGCTTATCTACACCGTGTTTGAGTGCCTATGAAGGCAAGAGCAACGAACTGTCTGCTTCTAGTGATGTGTATCGTGTCGTTACGTTTCAAAATTTAGTAAAGCTGAGCTAACAATGATGAAACCACGTCCTATTACTGGAGGGCCGGGCGTGGCCTACTCGTAATCGAACTGTATATGCAAGTTACATAGGTATTTTGGAATACATATATGTGTGTGTGTATCTGTATAACCAACCACTTTAAATTTATGAGGTTTTAGTCCTTTACGTTTTTTGTGTTCTTACGTTATTGACTTCTGTTGTTTAAACGTATAAAGTTCTAACGATATAAGCACTATTATTGTTTAATTATACTGAATGAACCAATATTTTGTATAAATAGATATCGATCTTTATACCTATAAAAATTGACTTGCCTCTATTTGTGGATATATTTATCACGCTTTGATTATTTTCAAATGTTCACCTTATACGAGCATTGGAGATCAAAAGCAAATATCGCCGCAAAGAACAAAACAAGTGAACAATGAAAGAAACTAAATAACAGTATAATATATCTGAATGTAAGAGGTATATATCAATGTAAAACCCTCACAACGGTAGAGATACGCCCGTTTATTGGTATTTATTTTAATTCGCAAGCCTCACGTGTACAATACTATCCTTTTGGTATTAAATTTAATCAAATGTTATGCTTTCATTATGTTTTGAGAATAAGTTGATTTATTACTTACAGAATTGAAAAATATTAACCTCTGATCAAAATAAACTAGCTACATTGATCAAAACCAATAAATAAACCCAGTAATTAGTACAGTTAATTAAACATACTGTTCTTAGAACGATTAGAATGAATCGTTTCACTAGCTTGACACAATCGTTATTAGCGATATTTTCGGCCGTAATCCGAATAATGACTCATTAAGATTTGTTGTATATGGAAATTACAATATAGATTAATACAGATCTGCAACTGTGCTGAAGTTATCTCTGTTAGGTATTCCTTGCGTTTTTTAGGAGACATGTTGGCAGAATTTCATAAATATTTTGTCAAGTTAAAAATGTATCGTTAATATAAAACCAACTGTGTTTACTAACAAAGAGCATTACTTTCAAATACTTCTTGAAATATCTCGAAAATGCTTTTCAATTTTATCAAGAGGAAGATTAGTGTAAATATTACTGATGTCAAAACAATGGAATTTTAGTTACTAATGGCCTGCCCCCGAATGGCACAGCGGCATCTCTGCAGACTTATATCGCTAAAAACCGGGTTTCGATACCTATGGTGAACTGAGCACAGATATCCCTTTGTGTAGTTTTGTGCTTAATCACAAACAACAACAAAAAACTACTACTTATGATCTTTAAAACAACATAACTAAATTTACTATAGCTAACGCCCCCCCCCCCAGGTTGGTCAGCGGTAAATTTACGGACTTACAACGTTAAAATCAGAGGATCGATTTCCTTGTCGTGTACACAGTGCAGAAAGTTCATTGTGTAGCTTTGCACTAAAACTACAGCAATAATTTTAGCTAATATTATATCTATACTTATATACCACCAGAACGTTTACTGAGTTGTTAACTTCTCGAAGATTCAGTTAATTACAATTCAAATTTAATAATACTATATGCTTTTAACAGTAAGCATTCGGCTTTTAGATGTGTTAAACCTAATTATAATGGTGATGACCATGACAGGCCGACTTATTTTATGAAAATCTAATGGACTTTGATGGTAGTCCAGATGTGGGAAATGATCACTTACCTACTATATAAGTTCTAAATCATTATGTGACAAAAGTCCCTGTGTGTATGCGTGCACGCGCACTTATAACTGACAAATCGCCGGGTCTATTGTTACCAAACCTTGCATGTACTGTTAGCCCCCACCCCACCCACCGGGCAGTGAAAAAGAGAGGATTGACTTTTGGACCTGACATCCCTATGTCCCCCCCTCCCCCCACACACACCCCAAGCGGGTACATCAACTAGTGATTTATAATAAAAAATATTGTAGCAAAAATACAACTATTAATAGTACTAAGTTGATATATTTAATTGAGAAATGTTTGATACAACTTTAGAAAATAAACTTATATATATATATATAAGGACTAAGTGTTAATACAGAGGGTTGAGTATGTTATATTAAAACAATTTTTCATATGCCAGTTTGCAAGTCACTTGAAAAACACAGCCGATATAAAGTTGCCATAGAACAGGATGTATCAGAAATACATTTTGACGTTGTTTGACATTTCGTAGGTAGTGTGATGCCACAAAACATTGATGAAGGTTATGTGGCAACCTTTTCCGACACTAAATATTCATACATTCAGATCATAAATATGTATTTAGATCGGGGATTTAAAATGTCCAAGACGGGGATATCTTTTGTACTTAATTACATTTGGAAACCAAGGAATATGGTGGATAAGCTTGGATCACTATGACCTTCCAGAAAGAGACATGTAACAAGTTGTACCCCAGCCATGGTATGCAAAGTGAGATTTATTGTAACAGTTCAGCGTATACGAACACAAAGGCCAGTCGCAGATTTTGTGCACATGCCCCAGGTAAGATTACACATCATAATCCAAAGATATATCTTTTTTAAAACAAAAACGACCCAATTCAGGTGCATAAAGTTCCTTCCACAACATATCTATTCAACCGTCGATACCTCAAGCAGCTAGAGACTGAAACGAGTATTCATGCTATTCTATATAAAGACATACTGGTTAAGTCATCGAACAGAATGCCTATGAATTTCTGTGTAGTCAAACTGTTGAAACGGGTACTGAAAAACAATCCTCTTCTAATACTAGATGGAACATGGAAAACAGTAGGAAGGAAGAATGTGTTTTGGACATGACAGCCTTACAATGAAGTCTTTTGCAAAAGAAAATATGCTGCAGGGCTAATCTGACGATGCACAATCGTCAAGAGAGCGTGACTGGTCACGCGACATGAACTATAACGATGTGGTGAGGCTTCAAAATCGTTTTAGTATAACACAAGTAATTTATATACATTTTATCTTGTTGTAATAAAACCGTCTTACTCCATCACAATTAAATTCGCTTGGTGCTTGAAATAATATGAATAATGTAATACAGCTTTAATTAAATAAGTCGGTTTGAATCCTTTATCTTACGACATATATACATTTAAAGCTTTATTTTCGAAAAATAAATGATATAAACAGTAATAACGAGTAACTGTTGTTCCATTTGGTAAGATATAACACAAAACATGTACTGAACTATATACAAGGCTTTTTATGAATTATCCAACAAAAAACAATTGAAACATCTATGACAAAGTTAGATCACAGCACATTCTGATCTGTTATTATATCAAATACTCAAATTTAGACAAACAAGTTATAAGTCTAATGGTTTGATTTTCGTATAAAGGACCTTATTAGAAAAGGCTAATTATCCAACTGCAATGAAAATAGTTAATTATGTTTCTTATTCTTTTCGGTTTTTTAAATTTATTCCTAGTTATTTTCTATAATTCCGTTTAACTCTGAAACATTTAAAATAAACTCTCAACTCTCTACGTATTCTGGTATGATCCATATCAGTAGAAAAGGCACTGAATAAAATGGTGCTAATGGATCTCAGGATTGCTTTTAAACACTATTACGGAATATCAAGTTGAATGTCATAAAGCAGGCTGATGTAAGGAAGAATCAATGCTTGAGGTATTCAGTGTTTCTTCTTAAGTTATATATACATATATTCGATTTGTTTTTCGCAAGACTTTCAGATCTAGATTATTTTTAACATTAAATTAGGCCACTACAGTATATTAAGTAATATCGTTTACATGAAAACAGTTTGGGGGAAATACATAATCATTTGATCAACATTTGAGACCAATACTATGAGCTACGTTTGCAATGCACTGCGTATTTAGAAGAACAAATGGTCAGAAGTTACTAAATGTCTTTGTCGAACATCAGTTCACCAACTGTTTGGCTCGTTGAACCAAAGTGTTTTAGTAGAGAGGTTACATCGTTGAACTTGAACCTGCTTAGGATATCATAAAGTTTCACTAGGCTCCAATGAGTAACATTAAAGTCCGTCTGACATCTCTTTCTTATAAGTACTTCTTGTGACGTGGAAGAGGGCTTTGAAAGTTAGCTTTGGTAGAAAAAACTATCACTTAATTGATTATAACACAGCTTATTTCCTTTATTAGGCAATATCAATGGCATCTGTCATGCTTTGTAAGGTATATTTATATTAGAATTCATGCGTGTATTACTGCTTTTGAAATAATAAGCGAAATTTGACATGACGAAGGCGTGAGCATAGATACTGAAACGTTGTTAAAAGAAAAAAATGTCAGATAACTTCTCATCTGTACAAGAGTTCTTAGATTCCCAACACACAAGATAAACTACACTAAAATAATGTGCGAAATGGACAAGTTTCTACCAATTTTTTAATGAAATATTCCGTACACAAATTGCAGCAGTGAAAGAAAACTTTTAGCAAGAGAGTAGGCGGCATAACATGATACTTTATTATGGAGTGTGATGACAAGAAACTTGATGACTTAAAAATAGTTTCATTTAGGAGAAATGGATATGATATAAACTCTTGTTAAATAAGTTTAATAATACTTTTATTCAATTTCTTACGTTTTTACAAGATGGAATACATGTTTCGACCTTATTAGGAAGCATACCTTACAATGCATAATGAATGCACTAGGACGCAGAAAGAGGAGCAGACAAGAATTCAAGAAGCGTTTCACTTTCAGGTAGTTTCCCAGCTAGCTTGAAAATCTCAATCAGCTGTTGAAGGATGTTCCCTGGAAATTTTTTAACATTTGAATTTACTAGTACTTTTCTTAATGTAGTTTGTGCTTGAGAAGTGTACAAGCCGTGTTTTCTTAACAAGTTTTCAACCTCTCTCGGAACAGCTGTATTACCTACAGGACAACAAAAATGTTTGGTTACACAAACAAACTTGGAGTGACGTCATTTATTAAAAGCGTTACTCAACTTGGTAAACTAGTAACATATTATTATAAAGAATAGGCACAAAACGTTTACTCTAATAAATGTTATTGGATACCATTTTAACGAATTCAAGCTTATACTCTAAAACACAACAAAACGTTTGCTCGCTGCAGTGATTGCACTGTTTCTTTGAGTGTTGGAAAACTAAATAGAATAATTAGTTAAAGTTATGTAACGTAAATAAAACGACGTTGTGTCGTTCACATAACACTGAAATACAGAATAATACTTACTAAAAAGATAACCAGATTTGTGTCCATTTTTTGTTTATATGGTAAAGGACTGTGAACCTACTACGATGTCAGAGTAGGTGGGAATTTTGCAGTATTAACTGTATATGAAAAGTGTCTGTCCAATTAATCACTATTTTAGGAGCTACAAGAAAGGAATTGTTTACGTTAAGAGACTTAATTGTATGAACATCGAAGGTCTCACATATACTGTACGTTCTTCGACGAAACAACCAATAATTCCATAGTAAAGATAGACATTCACTAGCCAGCAGCTTCTACATAACTTCTTCAAACGTACTTGTATTTTTACGTTATCTTGTCACATTCAAAGTCTGGCACTAAGACTGTTGTCACTGATTCTTTAAATTTCAGTTGTACTGTACAGTCAAATGCACTACACTCAAAAATCGATCTTCAAACCTTAATCTATATACAGGAAATTCACGTATTATATATGTTTCCAACCAAAGGTACTTGGCTTTAAGTAGCTAATTTGAATTTATACACTATTACCAGTAAGATAATCAATTAAATACAAGCTTATTAACCGAGTAACATTCTAAATTAACTTAAAATGTCACACTGATTGAAAGCTATTAACCTTTTATCATTTGATTTAATAATTGTATCATAATAAACAAACAATGCAGTATGAACCTGGTGTTAAACATTACTCATAAATGTTTAATGTATGCTTATTTAATTACATATAATTTTCTTAATTTTTCTTCTTTTGTAAATTTAAATTATATTACCACCAAGTAACCTTACCACGGATTTCACGAGAAATATATAAAACAGCGAATCCCAACAATACCAATTTCATTTTCAGAGTATATAGACGCAACATTGTTTCCCGTGTCTAACGTTTGTGGTGAAATTTCTAAAAATGATTCTCATTTATTGTTATCAAATGGTAAGTGATCATGTAGAAGGTTCTATGTACGACTCTCTTTCTTTTTAACTTTTACGCTTACAGTATTTTCTCACCAATGATGACAGGACAGATGAATCGTCTCCTCTGAAAAAGTAAATGCTTGTAATACTATCATTGGTTCCTGTATTCTACTCTTTTCGTGCACATGAACAGAGATTTTTTCAAGACTTGGTAAAGCTGAGCTAACAATGTCGAAAGCACGTCCTCTTGCTGTACGATTACGACACCTTGTTTGTTAAACTATGGCATGCATATCAAAAATAATTTCTCTGTAGCCCCAGTGTTTTCAAATTCCCACGTTCACGAATAAAGCTTGTTTGTCATGTACATTTTATTAGTGCTCCACTATCTTGAAACTTAAGTAACAGATTTCTGAATTTGGCTTAGATGAGCCATTTTTCATGCTTACTAATTATTCTAGAGTAAGTGTTTAATGTAAAATGTATAGACATAATTATAAATAATGAACTGGCTTGAAATTCTCAGATTGAAACAGTGAAAAAACAACATTAAAACCAGACGTACTTTTTAACATTCATAATTCGTTATCTACTTAAACATTGAGAAGTTGGCCTCTTTTTTTTTTACATTCAAGATGCTGCTTGGTCCAGTTCCAGTTAAAATGGGGCCCGAGTAATCCCATTTTTTGTTTAACTTACCAACCTTTATATTACATCTTTACAAGGTTTTCCTTATATATAACTTAGCACTTTGTTGTTTTTTAGTATCACATCTCTACATGGCCATCTTATTCTAACTCAGTTGTTTCTGTATGTATGTAAAATGTTTTGATCAGATAAGAATTTAAATTCTTTACCTTTATCATCCATTAAATGTAAATTCTATATTTTTCTATAATATATTATTTACACATTTTTCTTTAAATGCAAAAAAAAATCTTATTTGTTATTAATGCCCTCTGAGTTTACTTTATGACACCAAATGTGCATCAACTGAGAATATCAATTTACTGAAGAAACACAAAATATATAGATCCACTTCTGTCTAAAATTAGCTTATGAACATAACAAATACTATAAGTTGATAAAAAAAAGAATTAACAGACAACAAACATACATCAATAGTGGAATACCATGGTTATGGTTGTAGATGAATAAATAATTAATCTCATAATGTGTTTAAATTTATTAACATTAAGTAACAAATGAATGATATGTAACGTTTTGGGACAACATAGGACCTATTGGTCCATCTCGGCTGTTCCATCCTCTAAACTAAATTAGAATAATTTAACAAACAAATCTTAAAGCCAGCCCTTATCATTCATATACTTATCAAGCCTTTTCTTAAACTCACTTAAATTTACTGCCTGTACAACATCCGAAAGCAACCCATTCCAAAGGCCATCCACCCTGTTAGAAAAATGAAACTGTCTTAGCTGAAGATGACTCCTACCGTGCCAAAATTTATATTTGTGTCCCCTGGTCCTATTACTAAACACCTTAATCAGATCCCCCCTAACTCTTCTTTTTTCAAGAGAAAACAATTTGAGATATTTCAGCCTCTTCTCATATAGCAACACCTCCATCCGAGGCACCATTTTAGTAACCCTTCTCTGGACTCTTTCTAACAACTCAATGTCTTTTCCAAGGTAAAGAGCCCAAGATTGAACACAATATTCCAAATGGGGACTAAACAATGACCTGTACAATGAAATTATAACCTCTTTAGACTTGTATTCAATATTTCTATAGATACAACCTAAAATC